GCCATTGCGCTTCGGGCATCACGTGATCGAGTCCCCGCTCGCGGACCTTTCCCGATCCCATCCCCCCTCTCTCTCCCACTTCGCTTCCTGTCTCACTACTATCCTATCAATAAAAGGCAAAAACGCCAAAAACATCTTAAAAAAAAGTGACAGTAAAGACGTAATATTACAAAGATTTCTATTTCGAATAAATGCTGTTCTTTTGAACTTTCTATTCATCAAAGAACCTTAATATATCACAGTATCTACAAAAAAATATTAAGCAGCATAACCATTTTCAACATTGATGATAAGAAATGTTTCTTGAGCACCAAATCAGCATATTAGAATGATTTCTGAAGGATCATGTGGCACTGAAGACTGGAGTAATGAAGCTGAAAATTCAGCATTATCATCACAAAAATAAATAAATTTTAAAATATGTTCAAATTGAAAACAGCTGTTTTAATTTGGAATAATATTTTACTCTTTTTACTGTATTTTTGATTAAATAAATGCAACCATGGTGCGCATAAGATACTTTTTTTTTTTTTTCTTTCTGACCCCAAAATTTTGAAAAGTAGTGTAGAAAACGTGTGGGGGAAAAGGGCTTTTTCTGGGCCGAGTTATTAGCTTAATTAGTCAGTCTTGACAGAAGCAGGTTGTTTTATTGAAGGCATGATGTTCGAGAGAGAGGGACGTCACTGAAAGAGAGCAGGACACAACCCGCTGGCAACACAATACTCTTGAGACACAAGTTTTTTTGTCTTTGAAACGCTGTGCTGAGCCCAATCACACCCGACATGCTCACTCCAACTTCCCCCTGCTGTCTTGCTTCATTTCAAGGATTTAAGAATAGCTGTGAACGTGTGACTTTGTGTGCTTTTTTGTAACTGATGGACTGCAGCGGTGATGGTGTTTTGATTCTGACTGTGGAAAAGTTTGATTTGAAGGAGGGTTTGTGATCGAGGTATAATGTTTGAAGTAAAACTTTTGGAGTGAATGTTACTGTTGAATGACATAATATGCCTAAGTTGAATTTGTTGCACAGTTGTAACACGAGGATAATGTTTCAGGTGAAGGTGGCCATTTTGAAGTACATAGAAACACTCACACTACAAATGGAGCTGGTAAAATTACCATTGTTTTGTTTAAATAAAAACAAATAAATTAGACTACAAATATTAGTATTATTAAATACAAAATAAATTATTTAATTTTTAGTATTATAGAGTATTTATTTTTGATTTGTTAAATTTTTATAATTTAAATACTAATAAAATTATGGAATATTCCTTTGTTTTTTTTTTCTCATATCATATGGAATGATATGGGGGAAAAACAGTTTTTTTTGTAAAAAATAAAAGCTATTTCAAAATACTAAGAAACACTTTAATAGTATATACGTAATACCAAAATAACACTGCAATTTTGATATACCAACTTGTGTTTGTGTAAAAAGAGATAGACTGCAGAGTGATATGAAACCACTCATACAGTTAAGCACTCATTATATAAAACTATTTTTTCATTTTCACCATTGAGATTGACCAATTGGAATTAAAGGGTTAGTTTACCCAAAAATGAAAATTCTGTCATTAATTACTCACCCTCATGTCGTTTCAAACCCGTAAGACCTTCGTTCATCTTCGGAAAACAAATTAAGATATTTTTGATGGAATCTGAGAGCTGTCTGACCCTGCATAGACAGCAACGCAACTGAAATGTTCCCAAGTCCAGAAACGTAGCAAGGAGATCTGTAAAATAATACATGTGACATCAGTGGTTCATTCGCAATTATTCAAAGCTACGAGAATACTTTTTGTGTGCAAAAGAAAAAAAAAGACTATTCAACAATTCTTCTCCTCCGCATCACCCTGGTGCCATTTTGGAGAATATCCGCTGGACGTAAACAGCGTATACTTGAAGTCTTTCTTAATTTAAATTCTTGTATGTCTTAACACATGATGAGGGAGTGTTTTAAACTGTGTGCTGGAATAGTCTGTGTAATTAATGACAGAATGTTCATTTTTGGGTGAACTAACCCTTTAAGTATTTGAGAGAGCCATGTAATAAGGCTATAACACGGATGTGTTATGAATGTGTCTCTGTGCAGGGTGGTGATCAACCCACAGCATCTGGTCGGACGGCGCTGGATAACAAGACCTCTCTGCTAAATACTATGCCACTCCTCTCCTCAAGTCCCCGCCCAACAAAGGAATACCAGTCAGTCAGCTACTCTGACTCCTCCTTCACCTCCTCCCCTTTCAATAAAAGCCTGAAAGATGCAGACCAAGATGCCGAGTCCCTCACTGATGGTAAAGCACTTCCATAGCTATTTGTAGCTGCTTTGTGAAATGTGTACATGTAAGCACATGTGTGGGTCTGACTTCCTTTCTGCTGGTGGTGTTACAGACAGTGGCGTGGACCAGTCTGAGGTGGTTGCTGAGCTCCTAAAGGAGCTCTCGAATCACAGCGAGCGGGTGGAAGAGAGGAAAGCCGCGCTGTGTGAGCTAATGCGGCTGATCAGAGAAACACAACTGCATGTTTGGGACGAGCACTTCAAAACCATCCTCCTGCTGCTCCTAGAAACACTCGGGGATGGAGAGGTGCATGCAAACATACACTCACTGCTGTAAACGCACTCTAATCTTAATCATGAGGACAACCAAATGCATCTTATTTACTTGCTGATCTTTATTTTTCTCTCTCAGCATGTCATTCGGGCATTAGCACTGCGAGTGTTGAAGGAGATCTTAAACCGGCAACCGTGGCGCTTTAAAAACTATGCAGAACTCACCATTATGAAGACCCTGGAAGCACATAAAGACCCACACAAAGAGGTCCAGGCTCCTTGACACACAGTCACATGAAGCATGTTAGACCGACAGCTCAGACCGAAGCGCAAATCTAAACCTAAACACAAAATGTCCTTTTGTCTCTGTATCAGGTGGTACGGGCTGCAGAAGAGGCAGCGTCTATGTTGGCGACCTCAATAAGTCCTGATCAGTGTATTAAGGTGTTGTGCCCCATCATCCAGTCGGCTGATTACCCCATTAACCTAGCTGCCATCAAGATGCTCACCAGAGTCATTGACCGGCTGCCCAAAGAGGGTCTCCTTCAAATGCTCCCTGAGATCGTCCCTGGGCTCATTCAGGTAAATACTGTATTTTATATACACTAGGTTTGAGGTCAATAAGGTTTATTTTTGAAGAAGAAGTGAATACTGTTATTCAGCAAGGATGCATTTAATTGATCAAAAGTTAAAGACAATTATAATGTTACAAAAGATTTGTATTTCAAATAAAAACTGTTGTTTTTAACTTTCTATTCATCAAAGAATCCTGGAAAAAAAGTATATATCATGGTAAAATATGAAGCAGGACAACTGTTTTCAACATTGATAATAATAATAAATGTTTCATGTACTGCAAATCAGCATATTAGAATGAATTCTGAAGCATCATGTGACACTCAAGACTGGAGTAATGATGCTGAAATTCAGCTTTGCTATCACATGAATAAATTATATTTTAAAATATAATAAAATAGAAACCAGTTATTTGAAATTGTAATATTTCACAATATTACTGTTTTGTTTTTATTTTTGATAAAGAAATGCAGCCTTGGTGAGCATAAGACAATTCTTTCATTAACAAATCTTATTGACCTCAAGCTTTTTAAATGCTAGTGTATGAATAGGGTAAGGAAGCAAGAACAGTTTCTAATAAACTTATTTGAAAAAATACTGGAATTGAATGATGTGTGATTAATGGTTCTTTCATGTGTGTTCTTATGCTGCTGTGGATGGAATATACTGTAGTAAATACATAGTTTCCTGCAATACTCAGAGGCACCACAGTGCCACTATTGAATCTATAGTGCGACAGCATAATCATTGTAATCTGATTACAGAACATATGTTTTTTTGGTTCATTTTATTGAATCAAAAAGTCCAGCACAACTAGTGTGGTCCAACTCTTGTTTCCTTGTGGTGATACAGAGCTAATCAGTTAGAAGGGTCATTTTTTGTCATTTAAACAGCTTTCAACTGTGAGACTAAAAGGGATAGTTCACCCAAAAGTCTGTCATCATTTATTGCTTTTTCTCTGTGGAATATAAAATGCCCTAGTGTTTTTTGTCCATACAGTTGAAGTCAGTGGTCATCAAAACTATTTGGTTGCCAACATTCATTTTGTGGTCTGTTAACAAAAGAAAGTCTTAAGCCCGGGACACACCAAGCTGATGGTCGGCTGTCGGCGAGTATCTGTCAGGCTAGATTGTTCGGTGTGTTCCACACGCATCGGGGCCGTCGGCGCTAGTGGGAACTCTGATTGGATGTTCAGTTTAGCTAACGAGTCAGTGCTCGAGAATTAAAGCGAAAGTGATGAAAACGAGCAATATACACAATATACACACAGAAGACTGTTTAATGTTACGTGATCTTTCCCAAGCATTCCAATATGTGAATATTTTCATAACACGAGCCACTTAAAATGAAGAAAGTTATCAACATAACTGATATTCAAAATGGTAAGCAAGCGCTGCTTTGTTTACGTTTCGTATATCTGCATATATCTCTTATATCCTTGTTTCAGTTTCTCCTTTTAAATGACAAATATATACTATTGATAGCTGCTGATGCTGATATAGACAGTTAATTCTTCTCACGCAGGCACAGAACGCTCGTGTTAGTTTGCAGTCGGCTGTAGTCTGTGCGGTGTGTTCAAGTACAGCTTTTTGGTCCTGATGCTGCCGACGCAAGGCGACAACACTGTAAATGTAACCGAGTAAATGATGACAGAATTTTCATTTCTGGGTAAACTATCCCTTTAAAATCAGTGTACTTGACCATTAAGAAATCTGAACTTTTGAAGGAACTCAGAGCCAGAATTGTTCAATTTTTCACTTTTCCCATTCCTAATTATATAGCAAAATGTATTTAACATATAAAGTTCCAGTTAATGACTTTACATACTTCAGTTGAATGGCATGTCAGGACACAGATTGTCTGTTCTAGATGCTGTAGAACATGCTATCAAACTTTGATAGTTGACTTTATACATGATTTAACCCCCTTTGACTCCCCCTAGTGGATGTATTTAGGAACAAACTAAATACATTGACTTACCCTAATATTAAGCATCTTTGTTAAGGTTATAAGCTCTTGGCTATGATGGTCCCTGCTTGTTTTGATTATATTTTGCTCTCCTTTGCAGGGTTATGATAACTCTGAGAGCAGTGTACGAAAGGCGTGTGTATTTTGCCTTGTGGCCATCTATGCTGTCATTGGAGAGGATTTGAAACCTCACCTCAGCCAGCTGTCGGGTAGCAAGGTGAGCCGTTTCCTCTTGCTAAACCCAACCCCTTTCCCTTTTCCGCCTTACTCTCAATATCTCTCGGTTTGATATTTCAAAACATCTATAACATGTACATTCTCTCTCTTTTCCCAGCTGAAACTGTTGAATTTGTACATAAAGCGAGCTCAGAGCGGCTCCAGTGGAAGTGACCAGTCTTCAGATCTAGGAGGGCAGGGACTGTAGCTGTGCCGCCACCATTCAGAACTACAGCACTCTCTTAGTGCAGGGGGACCCTAGCTGGCTTTTTAACTCACATTCATACACAAACACCTACACACGCTTACCTACAGATACACAAAGCCGCATGCACCTACACTGCTGGACACCCTCCTCCGGCCCCACAAAACCTTCCAGTGGGATATGCGTCGAGGAGCGGCGTCGGACTGAAACTCTTCCTCCAAACTAGGATCACCGTCACTCTGTGTGCATGTCTGAGAAACCGCTATCTGTGGCACAGTTGGTGGACTGCTGATGTAGTTTTGTTGCCTTGTTAATGAGAAGATCATGTGTACGAGTGTGTGTGTGTGTGTGTGTGTGTGTGTCAGACGGGGAAGGTGGAAACCCAGCAGAAAGAGGGGGGTGTCATTTTGTGCAACATGGAAATTGTTTCTTTTTATCAAAGAGCTTTTGAAAAACTCAGATTTTTAAGATGAAGTTCAAAACTTCTTGGTCTGAGCGACGTGTCATTAACGTTCCTAATTGCTCACTATCGATTATTATTAATGGTCATATCAGTTCATAACAGTGAGCGGTTGGTCCAGCTTGCTCTATTATAAGACATACTTTGCTTGCTCGATGCATGTCATGAATAAATCTGAACCTTTTTATCTGGTTGCGTATATGGCTTAACGCACACCCGAGATTCTCATCACAGCGAGGCCACATGTGATACCACACCACATAGGTAATATGTATCTATAAATACCATAACAAAGGAATATTCAAGAAGATCTTGTGATGTCCTGAGGGTGTGTGGATTCTTTTAAGTAGCATAGTGTCATTCTTCTCTGATGGTAAATTTGTAGAAATGTATTTACACTTCTAAATGCCGCAACTGTCTTGTCACTTGTTTCCTGTAGTGTCGGTCTTTCTCCCCCGTGAGGAAGTTCTCTTTCTTCCCGCTGCATTTCTAGAACTGTGCTAACAATGAAATTAAAATAAAGAAAATGTACAGTAATGAACTAAATGTCTCCTTGTTATTTTTCTAAATGTGACCCTGGAGCACAAAACCAGTCTTAAGTAGCACGGGTATATTTGTAGCAATAGCCAAAAATACATTGTGTCGGTCAAAATTATCGATTTTTCTTTTATGCCCAAAATCATTAGGATATTAAGTAAAGATCATGTTCCATGAAGATATATTTTGTAAATTTCCATGATGTATAAATCTCAATTTTAAAAAATTGACCCTTACGACTGGTTTTGTGGTCCAGGGTCTGTACCTTGAAAATGAGTACAACAAATGAGTTATGATTTAAAGGGTTATTTGACCCAAAATTGAGACTTTTGGCATCATTTACTCGCCATCATGTCATTCCAAACCTTTACTATTTCTTCTGTGGAACAAAAAAAGAAGATATTTTGAATAGTATTTCAACCATTTTCGTCCATAATAAAATTTAATGGGATCCAAACAACATTTTTGACCCCTTTGATTTTCATTTAATAGAAAAAAAAAAATAAATTTCAAAATATGCTCTCTTTTTTTTGGTTATATGGACTGTTTAAAGGAAATAAAAAATGTACACTAATGTTCAAAAGTTTTGGGTCCGTAATATGTTTTCATGTCTTTAAAAGATATGTCAAATGCTCACCAAGGCTGCATTATTTGACCAGAAATACAGTAAAAGCAGTAATATTGGGAAATATTACAATTATATATAGATTATAATCTATAGTCTTCAGTGTCGAATGATCCTTCAGAAATCATTGTACTATTCTGATTTGGTGCTTAAGAAACATTTATTATTATTAATGATGAAAACAGTTGTGCTGCTTAATGTTTTTGTGAAAACTGAAAAAAAAATTCTGGATTCTTTGATGAATAGAATGTTGAAAAGAACAGCGTTTATTTTAAATATACATTTTATGTAAATTATAAATTCCTTACTGCCGCTTTTGATCCATGTAATGCACGGTTGCTGAATATAATTATGAAATTCTTTCCAAAAAAATGTAGATTATGTAGTGAAATGATATTGCAGAGTCACGGAGGGGCGATCGCGTGCGCTGTCTCGGTGGATGAAGTTCACTGCTGATAAACAACAGCAACAGCGAGACTCGACGCCAGACTGCTTTGGTCGCTGTCTGTCACTAGTTTTTTCAGCATTGATCGCGGGTTTCCTAGATAGTAATGCAATGCTGTTCTGGCAGCTGCACACTGGGAGCTTTGAGAGTCAACAGCCCTACAGCTACAGTAACACACGGTAAGACTGAGCGCTACTGAACAACTCGTGTTTAATGGAAATTAAGGACATAACTTTTATTGGTATTTCCGTCTGAATTCATGTTGAGTTTTTCTCTGTAAGTTACGTAAGTGTCACTGTGTATTTGTGTTTCTGTATACAATCGCACAAATATATACAACGAAATATTCTTTACTGTTTATTAAGTTACATATAAGTTCGTTTTACTATAACTTTTTCTCGTGGCCACTCCTGAGTGATGCGATGAGTTTCTCTGTTAGTCGCATCTGTCTCAAGTTTGTTTACTCTGTTGAGAAGCGTCTTCAGCTGGGTTAAAATGACAGATTATATTCAATTCATTAAACACAATTCAAAATATTATATAACGATTACATAAATTATGCTATATTGCTGTTATATGAAAATAATTTCTGAGTAGCCTACACAAAATGCAAACAATAAAACAATTATGACGCAAAATTCATAGAGCATAATTAATAAATAAATAAACAAATATATAATGGCCAACTAATATACTAATAAATTATGTAGATGTACTAATATTTAAAATTGACAGCTTGCCTGATCAGACATTTATGAAAAACACTTTTCCTGAGAACACAGTTCAACATTTCTGTTAAAATGTACCTCGTTAGTTGACCCTTGTCTGAGTGTATACCAGTGTGCTTTTATTGTGTTCACTTATTACCCAACAGCCATAGTAAAAGTATGATGGTGAACTAGGTGTTTAAAATCAACACAAACCCACTGCTAGAAAAACATATTCATGTATTTTGTCACATGAGTTAAAATCACTTATCTGTAATGAGAAATTAGAGTGCAGTAAAGTCAAAACCAGTGAGAAATGTAATTGTATTCATCCTCTGCACTTTTGTTGACTTCATTTGGCCATTGCAAACCTTACAAATAGATCTGGGTGACATACACTATTCTGCTATTTCCCTGTTTCTCTCACTAAATAGAAACTTACTACATAACTGGCATCTGAAAATTATTTATCTATAAGTCTGCAATATTGTTTTTCAAGGACACTAGTGCCCTCAGTGAAAAAAAAATGAATCAAGTGTTTCTCAGCTGTCTCAAAGCACTGCACCTACATTCCCAGCTGTAAACACCCAAAGCTGTTTTGTTTATAGGTTGGTGGTCTGTTTAAGAGAATCTAATGATGCTCAAAGACCCGTCTGCCTTCCTGTCCAGACCACCACCACAACAACAATAACAGGTTAAAAACACCCAAAATATGTCCTTAAGTGGCCATCCCTGTTTTCAGAATGGAATTTCAGAGCAAAAACAGCCAAGGTGGGATCTGAATATCTCACGCTACTAGTCCTCATTTATGTCAGCGAAAACAGCTATCTGTCTTAATGTATATCTATATTTTCTTGTAATTTCACAGCAGTGTTGATATATGACCCTGGAGCACAAAACCTGTCATAAGTAGCACGGGTATATTTGTAGCAATAGCCAACAATACATTGTATGGCTCAAAATTATCGATTTTTCTTTTATGCCTAAAATCATTTGGATATTATGTAAAGATCATGTTCCATGAAGATATTTTGTAAATGTCCTACTATAAACTTCATTTGGACAACTTTAAAGGTGATTTTCTCAACATTTAGATTTTTTTACTCCCTCAGATTCCAGATTTTCAAATAGTTGTATCTCAACCAAATATTGTCATATCCTAACAAACCATACATCAATGGAAAGCTTATTCATTCAGCTTTCATAGGGTCAAATTGACCCTTGTGACTGGTTTTGTGGTCCATGGTCACATATGGACTTTAGCTGTCAGCTGCAGATCTGAGGTTTTGAATATAAATGTGTTGATTGTGTTAAACATTCTATGATTTAAATGATTAATAAAAATAAAAACAATCGTCCATATTCAACAAGTTTGCATTTCTTCCACCAGGTGACGTGTCGTTTAATTTATACGCTGCAAGTTAAAGGTTATATTTTGTTTGGAAGCCGAGAGTGACTACAAGTGTATCTGAGCGCGAGCCAGGGAGACGATGACGACAGATCCTCGGAAGCTGATTGGCTGAGCGCGGCTCGCAGAGCAACGTGATTGGCTGTCAGATTCCAGACCCAGATCCCTGCTGCAGCTCTCTCGCGTTTAGGGTTTGAATGGTGGCAGACAGAGGGCCGCGTCCATGTGTGGTGATCTTTGGCCTCTTCCGAAAGATCAAACGGGCGGGTCAACACGATGAAATTAGGCGAACGTTTTCGGACAGTAGAGAGCGTAAAGACACCGCACTGCGTGCAGGATTAGATGAAAGCGAGCGAACTCTGCCAACCCAGTTACTCGAGCGGACATTGCGTGTGAATGCGGTGACAGTCAACAGCGTCCTCCCACCCTGCTTTATATAATGGAAGATCGCATACATATATGATGTGCTGCTGATGTATACGGGATAACATACGGGAGCTGGAAACGGATAATACACGAGGAGGTGTAACGTGGAGGGTTGAGTTGACTTCGCGACGCTGCAGCTCATCCCGAGACTGTTATTTCTCGCCTATGTTACTGTGAAACTCAAGCAATGGCGAGGCACACGGCAGTCAGGGCTAGAGCCGTTTGCCCTGCTTTCAACAGCTAGCCTTCCGCGGGTGGCCACCTAACCAGCTCTAGTAGGACTAGCTGACTCTTGCGGCAACGCGAGCTCCGTGCAGGTGCTGTCTGTACGAGGTGAAGCTGGCGGCGCTCCGGTTAGAGTCGGAGGAGAAGGATCTAGGCGCCATGGCGTGGGTGCTGAAGATGGACGATGCTACCATCGAGTCTGGGCTAGTGCACGACTTCGATGCCAGTTTGTCTGGCATCGGCCAGGAGCTCGGGGCTGGCGCGTACAGCATGAGGTTAGAGCAGCATGCAAACCGATCAGCAGCTTCCCAAGAGTCCCTAAGCCGGTGGCGATGCATCTATGACGGCGAGCTAGTTGGCTAGCTGTCTTGATCGCTGTGCTATATAGCGAACCTCGGGATTCCAGGCGGTTTGTGCTTATAGGTTTCAAAAATTCTTATTTTGATACGATTATTTATCATTTGGCCCTTCGCGAGTTTGTTTTTGTCGTCTGCTAGATGCAGTATGGCTATATGAGAGTTGCTAGAGCTAGCTCAAAACAATAGACAACGAGTTGCATCCTAATGTTGTCTGACTATCTTGAGAGCTAACGAGACCTGGCATTTGTTTTAATCTGGTTGTAGAGTGTTAATCGGTATTCTCACGCTCCTTTCCAATAGCCATAACGTGGTTGCACTGAAACGATAACAAGCGCGTTTGAAGTAATGTTACTTCCTGGAACAGGGTGTTCTTTGACATCTGTCCTGAGGTGCGAAATTAACAGTTATAAAGAATTAGTTTACATTTTATTTAACGTTTAACGAATTGGGTTAAATCTTATATCTTCGCATGCATTGTTTTAAAGGGCATTAAAATGTTTCAAGAATAACACGTTTAATGATTGAAGAAATTGAGGCGAACGTTGAACTCCATTATGTCATACGATACTGCGCATAGAAGCTATGGTTACGTCATTGAACTGTTAGGGAGACTCTGAAACAGTTGATGCGATATTTAAGATGATGGTCATATCCTAGAGATAGTCAGTCTGCCTTTTCCATGTACCTTTAAAATAAGGAAATTAAAGGTGAAGTGTGTATTATATTTCTTTTATAAAATATTCATATCCCAGTTTATTATGCAGGCATACGAGTCAGTTGATTCTCCAAAAAATGTAAATACTGTGGCTCAACAGCACCGGCTCAACCAATGACGCGAGTCTGAGGGCGGGACACTTTCACACTGACCAATGGCACACAGAAGGATTGGTTTGGGAAACCTGTTAGAAAAAGCCATAATTGTGGTAATGTTTGATTTTGTAGTCATAAAACTGTTATTCTAAATAACCCAAATAAAGAAAAAAAAACTAGGATCCAGCAGGCCGCACTGTTACAAACGTCGCATCATATAACCAAATAAATTTCTGAGGGAACCTGTAGAGTGTGACAGTTGGGTTCTGGAAGTAATCCCATTCATTTTCTAATTTGGGGGAATTGATTTAAAAAGATAACTAAACCTACTGTGAGCTATGAGGTTGTTAATTGTTAATAATCTGCATCGTTTTCAGTTTTAAAAAATAATCATGTTTATCAGTGAATTTCTGGTGAAAAACTACATTAACTATGATTCTGCAAAGAAAGGTCCACCAGTCAAAGAACCGAAAGCAGAAAATCACACCAAAAGAACTTGCGCCCACCCACTCCCATGTAGCATTGCGAATGACACAAGTGTCAGCCTCCCTCCCTCATAATTTGTAATAAAAAAACGAAAAAAATATTACACGCACACATCCGAAAGCGCATTTTCTGTTTTCTAAAGTATAGCAACAACATGTAGTCGCTGAGAGGCTAAGTAACTGGAAAAGAAATCCCTGATGCGTTCCCATGCGGTAACCTTCTATAAGCATTTATTGACTTGATGTAACAAACAACTGCTTATATACATAAAAGGACAATTAAGAAGGATTAAAAACATCTAGAGTGGTCAACAGAAATTGAGCATTCCCTGCTACTCACACATGTCAGGAAACACAACCAGGGAAATATCCTCTTGCACCCATGTGACCAAACACTTGAAATGCATAATCACAATATAAAATAAAAGACAAACATTTACTGCACCTACATCAACTTTCAGGTTGGCCTACTAATTGACATCAGAACTAAACAGCTCTATTTTGCTTAAAAATATCATGGTTCACCTTTACTATTGGAAAATATCACATTATTTAATGTTTTTAATATTGTTTTCAGGCGCTACTAATATTATTATAGGCGTTTGTTATTAAGTTGAATCTGACCAGTATCAAACTGTCCAAAACATCACACGCTACAATTTATTCATAGTTACGTATTGTTTTTTTCATGAGTTCCAACTGCATGCCAGGTGCTTCAGCATCCACAGCATTGGAAGAGACAAACCACAATCCCCCTGCATACGTCACATTTTCATTGGGGTATTAATGATGGAGCATATTTGAACTCTATATGTCGTTTTTCCAAATCGCCAGCAGCCTTCGCTATTCCAATTTGGCCACAAGGAGTTTTAAATGTGGTCACTGCATGATAGGAATACACATTATGCGCCTGAAGTCAGGTTCCATGGAACGGTTACTCTGGGATGTGGCGGGCTTCTGGAGGTTGTGGTGGAAAGAGCAACATCAGCACTTTCCCTGGAGCGCTCTGTTATTCTGCAAGTGTGCATATGCAAGTGTCTGAAATACTCTGTGTGAGAGAGAGTATAGTCAGTGGTTGAGTGAGTTTACATTCTGTGGAGGATTTGTTAGTGGTGGGAGCGCTGTAGTGTGAGACAGTGGGAAGAAGGCTGTTCACATGCTCTCCCCCTGTGATATCAAGTTTCTTGCTACTCTTCCAGCCCCCTGCAGATTTGCAGTTGACACAGTCCTCTATTGGTGTTAGAGGACCAGACAGTGTTTTTGGGTCATTGAGGCATAACCTGGCCACAGACTTTAGGTTAAAACATGCATACATATATTAGAGAAAGTGTTATGTGTCTGCTATTTAGTTATTTTTAAACATTTTAATCACATTTTTGCCGACACAATTGTCTGTTACGCATATTTTATGACACTATCCTGCAAGTTCTTAATGGATTTTTCAAAATGGTCTCACCAAGGAAGCTTCATATTATGAAGTTGAAATATCTCATATAGTTTTTTTTTTATTGTGCTGTAAGAGTTTAATGTTTGTCATTGTATTTTATTACATTTAAATAATCTAATTGTAGTTTCCATTGTTTTGTTTTTCATTTATTTAGACAAAATAGCATACATTTATTGTATTGGCCATTAATTGTTGCCCAGAAAATTCAATAATTATTGGCTTAGCCGTATCAGGCAGAATTTAAATATGGCTCCATCCATAATGAAAATAGTTAGTGTTGGTATTAATGTTGCATAATAATAATAATAAATTGTATATTTTATTTAAAAGACAATCTTTTTGCATTGACTAGTTCATTTAAAATGGTTCCATGACATACATTTTTAAAACAAATACAAAATTCCATGTAGTTTCTGATTTAATGAGGTCATGAAACCTGCATGCACGATTATAAAAGAATGATCAAAATGCTGTTTAAATGAATTTAAAATTAACTATAACATGTCACATTGCAGGCAGGATATGGCCATTTTCATGTCAGCTGCCCTTATATTTCTAACTTTTATGAGATATGGACAGGAATATGACATTTTCTGCATTTGCAGTTTGCAGGTGTTTTCAGTGAACAGGGTCAGATAAGTTCAAGTTCCAGATATCATGGAGATATGCTTATTATTTTCCTGCTGTGTCTGTTGGTCAGTGCTGTGACGTGGTGCGTTTGAGGTAAATGAGGGTGTGAGATGCTGATTATCTAACTTGCGATCATGTGGAATGAGCAGCTGTGGAACGGAATGTTACAGTGGAGCTGCTCATATTTCAGAAAACACTTGCAGATTGGTGGGCAGGAAGGATCCTGCAGGCCGCACTGTTACAAACGTCGCGTCATGTCAAACAGACTGCCAGCTAACTGACGCAGCGTCTTTAGCTGTCACTGCACTGACCTGATACCGCCTGTATGTGTGTGAGTGTAGCAAAGCAGTGTCAAGCTCAGAGCCATGGCCTAATATATCAAATATAATAATATTTTGGGCTAAATAGTGTGTAAATTAATTGTTCATTGTTGATTGTTTGATATTGTGTACATATTACCATCAAAATGTTGGGGTCAGTAAGATTTTTTTTTACTGTTTTTGAAGGAAGTCTGTTATGCTCAACAAGGCTGCATTTGTTAAAAATAAAACTATAAAACTGTGAAATATTATTACCATTTAAACTAACTTTTCTGTTTGAGTATTTTTTTAAAGGGGTCATCGGATGCTACATGCACTTTTACAAGTTGTTTGAACTGAAATGTGTGTTGGCAGTGTGTGTACACAACCACCCTATAATGATAAAGATCCACCCAGTGTTTTTTTAAAAATCTGATTAAATGTTTTCCCCTTTCTCAAATCGACCCGATCTCAGATGCCTGTCTGTGTGCCGATAGTTTGATTGACAGTAGCGTTTCAGCACAGACTGGACTGGTGTCTTACCTTAGACCCGCCCTGAGTGAACTGTCATCAGTCCGCCATTGTTTCACCGCCGGAGCAGATGTAGACAAGAATGACTCCTAAGCGATGATTTCATTAAATAAACATGAGCGCTGCAGGTTCAAAGTCAGGTGCTGCACTGCTTTGTGTACAGCAGTTACTGGGGAAAAAGTTATATTTCTACCAAACGCTCCACCTGCTGTCAGAGAATGAATGAGCATTTTCAATAAAACTGATGTTTTATTCAGAGTTCAGACAAATGCAAAACTCGATCCATGTTTTTTTTACCCTGCAAACACACAGAGCTTTAAATGTGAACTGGTGGATCGACAAGAAGACAATGCATTATAAAAATCTAAACAGAATAGGAGTGTGCGATATGTATGGTCTGCGATTATATCGTAATTGTTGTTTTAACGATGTGCGATTTTATATTATCGAGTATATCGCGAAAAGCAAACAAAACACCTACAGAGTGCGCGCATACATTAGATGATGAAGTCTAGCAGGTTAGACTAGTGTGCGCATTTAGAGTGCGTTCTTTCACTGCGTGAATCAGTCTATTAAAATGCATTTAGAATTATCACATAATTCAAGGCAGAAAATGTATATATTTATATCATATAGTTAATATCACACGAAAAGTGACGTTTGTTTTCCTCCCAAAGTCAGCATGATTACATATGTGATATTGATTTTATACAACAGTTCAATAAACAAGAAGTTAATATTAAGAGACTTACATTTTAGACACCATATTTCCTGTTTTTGCTCTATTTCTCCAACAAAAATCATTCCAAACAAAGCCACAGCGCTGTTTTGCGTCTCTGAGCAACATGACGGTGTTTCGTTCCTGAATGAATAATCCGTTTAAATTATTAGGTTCAATCGCAGTGACTCACTTAATAGTGACTTGCTGCCACCTACTGGCAGTTTTAATTTCACATTTAAGGTACCTTTTCATTTTTAAAATAATTTCAAACATCAGTTTTCAATGTTTTATGTTTAAAATATCAAAACATTATTTATGCATTTGTAACTGCAGGTTAGAGTGTTCCATGTCCCTCAGAGCTGCATTAAACAGTGTTTAAATGCATCTGTGTTTACACTTGGCATTAACATGCGATCACCGTGATCTGATCAAGCAGATCGGACCGTCAGTCAATCAGAACACGGTGTGTTTACACTTGGCAACATCAGCTGACTTCTCTATCTTAACTGATCGGATCTGTCGTTCCCGCACAATATTTAAATAAGTCTGCAGAGAATGGCCCCGGTGCAAAGTCGACCCGAAGTGGTGGGTTTCCTTTTTTTAAACCATTTTCAGTCGCGGGACATTTAACAAAGGAAAATATCTGTACGAGTCTCCCTAGCGCTCCACGGCCTCTCTCTTCTGACAGTTCGCGAGAGCGGGGGTGGGGTTTTGCGTGACATCGACCTGTGAATGCAGACACGATGGCTGGATTGCATTTACATTACATTGAGATCCGATCACAATGCGTCCTCGACTACCTCTGGAGCAGGACACACTGATCGGATAACATTCCAAACGGAAGCGCGTTTACACTTGTCTTTTCAATGTGTATGTGGACAACATCCAGATACAGGTCGCATGTTAAAGGGTTAGTTCACCCAAAAATGAAAATTCTGTCATTAATTACTTCACCCTCATGATCGACACACGAGGGTGAGTAATTAATGACAGCATTTTCATTTTTGGGTGAACTAACCCTTTAATGCCAAGTGTAAATGCATGCCACTTCTAATGCAGCTTCTGTGTTTCCTCTGCATTGCAAAGATCAATTTTGTTGATACTGATTTAATTTGCTTGGTAACAACCCAAATGCAAGAATTTGACTCAAAAGATGGTGCACACTTTTAGACAAAATGACAAAGGTAAAAATGCCCATAAAACTTGTTGGAAATGATTAATTTCTATCACTGCTGTGAACTGACCACACAGAATATGAAGAATATCAAAAACAGCACAATTAGAGATAAGATATCAGCACAATAACACATTCAGCAAAATATTGTCTAATTATCGTTATCGATAAAATCCCAGAAAATTATCGAGATAT